TTTGGCGGGAGCGTGGAGAAGATCCACGCTCAAAAGCTTCTGCGGACCGTGGGTCCTCCGCTGTCCCATGGAGGACCGCTGGGACGAGTCCCCTTGTTCATAAGGGTCTTGCTTGGCGGCGTGGAGCCCGGGAGCTTCCGCTGTGTCATAAGGGAACATAACGCCCCCAGGCCGATGTGGGGCCAACTGGAGACCAGCCATCCAGGGCGTGGACGGAAGCCTAGAGCAGAGTTAAAACCCGTGAGACGGTTGTTCGCGGGTCGGTCTAACCCACATTTGCCCTATCCATATTTCCCCTTAAGCTTCATTGGAGGGGGTCAGTGGGGGGCCCCTGTTGAGCGTTGTTCCATATGTGTTGTGTCAGTGGGTGCTGTGTTGGGCCCCGAAGTCAGAACAATGAATGTGACACAGGTGTTGGTCCCTCCCTGGCGGTTTCCCTGCCACCAGGGCCGGCCTTTGTCACACCCAGTCACCGCTCCCGTCCGTCAGTCACCTACGCACGCTCTGGGGCATCTGGAAGGGGCACTGATTGGAAGTCAGGTTTCAGGGCGGCGGCCCAGGGGTCGGTGCCTGTGCATGGAGGGGTTCCCGAACTTCCGAGGCCCGCCCTGCACTTCGGAGCTCTGACAGTGGCGGTCCCTCCAGGCATAAAGAGCTCCCCGGGGCTCCTTCCCGGCGGGACCCTATTTGATTCCTAAGAGTAGATGTCGCTCTGGGCCGGGGGCAGGCACTTAGCTGTCAAACCATCCACGGAGTCCCCGCAGCCAGACAGCCAGAAGGTGGCCGTAACCTGAGAGGTGGAGGCCACCTGAAGCCTTGGCCCCTTTTAGATCCAGAATGCGGAAGTCACGTTCTGTTCTGGAGGGTCAAGAGGTGGTCCTCACTAGATTCACCTTTGCTAGGACTCCAGGTGCCGAGCCCAGCTCTGCCCCTCCCTTCCGCCGTACCTGAGGTTCCTGGGGGACCGCTCCAGCTCAGAGTAAACCCCAGGACCTAGTTTTCCGGATCCGACCCCCGCCCCCGCCCCCGCCAACCGACGACACCGCGCAGGCGCTCTCGGCGGCTCTCTGTTATCCCGGTTGCCTGGAGACAAGAGCGTGGCGCGCTCGGAGCCCCGCCCGTCGCCGGGCGCACTGCCCCGCCCCCGCCCCCGCGTGCCGGCCGAGAGGGCCCCCCGCCCGCGAGTCATCTTCGGGACCCCGCGGGCCCGGGTGGTTGTGGGCTCGCCTCGGCCCGGGGTGACCGTCTCTCCCCCGTGGCCGGCGGTGGTCGCAGCGTCCCCGAGGCCGCAGGCTTCCGCAGGCTCCCCGTGGCCTCGAGTTATAGTCGGGACACCGCGGCCGCCGCGGGTGATCGTGGGCTCTCCGCGGGCCCGGGTCCCCGGGGCGGAGCAGGGCCTGCCGGGTCGCAGCCAAGATGAACATCCTGGCACCGGTGCGGAGGGACCGCGTCCTGGCGGAGCTGCCCCAGGTAGGCGCCCAGGCCACGTCGGGCCTCGGTTTGCAGCGGGAGTGTGCGGGGAGGAGGCGCCAGCTGGGTAGTTGTGGGAGGGCTGGATCGCCTGCTTCTGGGTGGTCCCCCCACCCAGTGCTTCTCCTCCTCCCCCACCCCACCCCCGGGGCTGTTTGGCAGCCGGACTGGGGCGAGGAATGGGTGGGCCCCATTCCTTCCACCCTTCTCATTCAGTGCCTGAGGAAAGAGGCCGCTTTGCACGTGCACAGAGATTTCCGACCTCAGGTCACCTGCGCCTGCCAGGAGCACCGGACCGGCACCGTGGGGTACGTTGGGGACGGCCACAGCGAAGAAAGGGAGTCCCCAGGAGCCCTGTGGTCACCACCAGAGCACATAACCACCCCCCTCGGATTCTGCTTCAGCCCCTGCCAGCACCAGCCTGTGATTTCCCCTTCTTGAGGAGTTGGGGTGGAAAGGAGGCCAAGGTCTGACCCGGAGAGGGCTGGCATCTGCTCCCCAGGCAGAGGGCTATGCCTACAGGAAGAGGCCCATTTGGGGCTAAAAAACAGTAGTATTCCCAGTGATCTCTGCTACCCCTAACTTGAACATTTGCAATGTGCCAGACAGCGTGCTGGGTCAGTGTTTGTGCTTTATCAAACAGAAAACACCATCGCTTTTAAGATACATTTAAGAGAGCTGTAAAGATGCGCGGGCAGCAGGGAGGGGGTAGCTAGACCACAGACTATATAGGGCATTTCTCTTTTCTTCGGAAGATCATTTCACTGGGGACTCCCACAGCTCTAGGGCATTTCTCATTCCAGGAGCGGATGCTGTTAACACTTGGCTGCTAATCTAAAGGTTGGAAGTTCAAGTCTACCTAAAAGGTGCCTCAGAAAGGCCTGGCAGTCTCCTTCCAACAGTGTCGCCCTTGAAACCCCATGGAGCACAGTTCTACTCTGAGGCACATGGGACTTCCAAAAGTTGGAATCAACAGCAGCCCGAGCTCCCGTTACTTTTTACAGCCCCCCAATAAAGAATAGCCTGAGGGGAGGGGAGGGAGGAGGAACCGATGGAAATGATCAATGCATAATTCCCTCCCCCCCAGGGGGATGAACAGCAGAAACATGGGTGCAGGGAGACAGCGGGTGGGCGTAAGACATGAAAACAGTAATAACTTTTAAGTTATCAAGGGGTCAGGAGTAGAGGAGGAAGGGAAAAAAGAGGAGCTCAAATAGAAAGTAAATGTTTAGAAAATGATGATGGCGATATATGAATAAATATGCCTGAAACACTTGATGCTTGGAACGTTATAAGAGCCCCCAATAACATTATCTTAAAAAAATAATAAATAAATAAAGGATAACTGCTGTCTTCCTAAATGTTGGAGCTGAGGTTCAGGTAGGCTACGTGACTTGTCCCAAGGGATGGCACCGCAAAGTGAGAGAGCCAGGGTGTGAACTGATGCCTCTCTGTGGCTGAAGCCCCAGACATCTCTTCTGCCCAAGCTCCTCTGTTTAGGCAGCTCCAGGGGGTGGGGGGAGGTCCGGCTTCTGGCGTAACCTCAGCAGCTACCTTTCTGGACCACGGAGGGGGACATTGGACCACCACCCTACAGTGAAGGGACCGGTACCCACTCCCCCTGCCTGTTCTTTGTGTTCAGCAGATTTAAGATCTCCAAGGTCATTGTGGTAGGGGACCTGTCAGTGGGGAAGACTTGTCTCATTAATAGGTAAGGGGGCTGCTGCAGCTGGGCCGGCCAGGGTGGGGCTAGGCCATGCTGGCTGGGCTAAGGGCCCCAGCATTTGGTGTGCCTCAGGTTCTGCAAAGACACCTTTGATAAGAACTACAAGGCCACCATTGGAGTCGACTTTGAGATGGAACGATTTGAGGTGTTGGGCGTCCCCTTCAGTCTGCAGCTGTGAGTGCTTCCTCCGCCTCTTTGAGCTCACCCTGCCCCAGCCAACGACCCCTCATTCCCCCCTACCCACCTGTGCTTCACCCCTCCTCCTCCCAGCTGGGATACTGCCGGACAGGAGCGGTTCAAATGTATTGCATCCACCTATTACCGGGGAGCTCAAGGTAAGAGGCTAGGTAAGATGGGGGGTGGGCCTGACAGTGTGCCTGGTCTTAAATCTAGGGCAGGGGAGGGCAGCAATTCACCAGTGGCCTCTCCATCAACTGATGTGTTTGTGCCACTCTTGTAGCCATTATCATTGTCTTCAACCTGAATGATGTGGCCTCTCTGGAACACACCAAGTAGGTGGACATGCTGAAATGTAAATGGGGAGGGGGACGGGCAGCTAGGGTCTGGTAGGGAAGAAGAAGAACACCACTAGGATGAGGTGGGGGGTGCTGGGGGGCATAGTAGCGTCGGGGGGGTGGGGGGAGGGGGGATCACTCTCACTCCCCTGCCCCTCTGAGATAGGCAGTGGCTGGTCGATGCGCTCAAGGAGAATGACCCTTCTGGTGTGCTGCTCTTCCTTGTGGGTTCCAAGAAGGATCTGAGTGTGAGTGTGTCCGTGGGGGGACTCAGTTTGGTGGGGCAGCCCTCCCCTCTTCCCCCCCACCTGCCACCTCACTCTGACCTTTCCCCAGACTCCTGCTCAGTATGTGCTAATGGAGAGGGATGCGCTCAAGGTCGCCCAGGAGATGAAGGCTGAGTACTGGGCCGTCTCCTCTCTCACCGGTGAGTCGGCGGCTTCGGCTGTTCCCTTCCAGCCTACCTTTCCTTCTCACTTCACCCCAAAGCTGTGCCCGATGCCTCCAGGCTCCTGAGTGCCCACCTGTTCCCTGTGTTCAGGCGAGAATGTTCGAGAATTCTTCTTCCGAGTGGCTGCACTGACCTTTGAGGCCAACGTGCTGGCTGAGCTGGAGAAATCAGGGGCCCGGCGCATCGGGGACGTTGTCCGTGAGTGCCTGCCTGGATGAGGGAGGGTGGCGGAGACTTAGAGGGACTTCCAGTCCCTGAATCACATGGCCCCCGCCCTTCTGCAGGCATCAAGAGCGATGACAGCAATCTCTACCTAACTGCCAGCAAGAAGAAGCCCACTTGCTGCTCATGAAAGGTGAGGGCTCTGTCCAGAAACTGCCCAGCCCTGGGCTGCTAGGCCACCCTGACTCCCTCAGATGTGGACCCCTAGATATTTACACTGAGAGAGGTTTATTTTGTTTTTCAGACCAAAGAGCTGCCTCTTGATGGCAGTATCCCCAGAGGGGTAGCTAGGACCATGCTACTCACTTCCTGCACCCAGGCACCATGCCAAAGACTGGATGCCCCATCCTGTCTCCAGGGGCTCCCTAGGGTACCCAGCAGTGGTCTGGGGCGATCCCTGCTGTTTCGTTCAGCCTGCTGGGGCCTTTGGGCATGAGGAGGCCTATTATACCAGCTCACGCGTGCCTTATGCATTAAACTCTTGGTGTTCTTAGCACTCTGGGACTGGACTTCTTTGTTGGGGAGGAGGAATGTGGGATGGGTGGGCTGCGTGGCCATTTTCAGGACTGGAGTCTTCTGGGATTCTGACCATCCCTGGTCTTTGGATACGGCACAGACAAACCAGGAGCTCAGGGACCCATCTTTGGGCCTGAGCTGGCTCCTCCTGCACTGGTTGAGAACCAAATGTCTGGCTTTGGGAAGCCTTTCCATCAGCCCCTTCCCCAATTACTCTATGTTTTTCTCTAATCTGAATTTCTACCAGTGGAATCCCCTCCACCTCTTGCTTGTTGGTTGTTTTTTAAAACTCTTCGTTCTTCAAAATATTTCTCTGAATACAATGAGAAGCAAATGAGTTTTTAGCTGTTTTTCACCTCTTTATGGTGAGTTGAGAAGTGATTGAGTTCTGCATTGACCAGAAGGCAGAGGAAGGTTAGGAGCCTGGTTCACTCAGAAGATAGGTCATGGTCAGGAGGACCAGTACCTCCTGACCACCCTCCTGGCCACCCTTATTGATGATGGGGGCTAGGGCATTGCCTCTTCATCTGTAAGACGGGGCTGATGATACCACACTCACAAGGTTGTGTAGATGACAGAAGAGCTCAGACACTTTCACTGATATAACCCTGTTGGGGACCAGTGACTGTGGACATCTGACTCAGCACCATAAATGGGCCAGAAGACACCTGGGCCATCAAAAGAGGGATGCATGGGTCCTGAGAGCTCATGAAGGGAACACCGATCCGGACACCCACTCAGTGGGTGCTCTGTCTGTCCAGCCTTGCTCCTGTTCGCTCCCCGTGCCTTTATCTTGGCTTGTCTGCACCCTCTTCCTCCACTTGCAGGGCCCAGAGGAG